ACCTCTGCTCAACATTTTACATAATGATATAATGCGTTATATTATTATAAGCAGTGACATCATAATAAAATACCAGAGTGCTACTGAAGTGGCAAGGAACACCTAAGATACATTTCTGTACTTGTAATTCAGTTCCTGTATTTTTTAATTATAGATAAGGATTTAGAGTGAAAATAATTATTCATTCCATAAATACTGTTGTAATGGATCCCTGGCATATAATTAAGAGCCCTTTAATTTTAATTTTGTATACTGAATGCTTGTTTTTGGAGGTATTCCATATTTCACATTCAGGGCCTATACCTGCAAAGCTCTAAGCTTCTACTTTAGTGGAAGCTGAAGATGATGTGTGGTTTGCAAATTTAAGAACTTAGCTTTTATAATGATGGATACAAATAACATGGCTGAGTCCAATACATTGCAAAGAATTTTTCTTCCTTCTAATTGTGATCTGTTTCAATTGTGCTGTCAGTGTTCCTTTGCCCATCTCAGCTTGGATTGGAGCATCTTCTTTCTAAAGTGCCCTCATGCCTAAAGAGAGAATCTGCCATCACAGAATTCAGCATTTTCTAGAAACTTACCTCACCAATGGCAGAAAAATAGACAGCCTATAATCTCCTTGCTAATGTGAAAATGGATGTTATTTGCAACTGAGCATGCAACCTTTTGGCCTACAATAAAGAGTAAAATCACTGGCACATGATTTTTACTCGGTGAGGATAGCCCTTTCGAAAAGGTAACTGTATTTCTCAATTCTAGTAAATACAGACACATCTTTAAAAGTACAACAAGAAATGGCACTTTTTTGGCAGACTCAGCAGGCAGGTCAAAGACTGTCTCAGCATGTAGAATGAATTAATATTTCTCTCCCGTGAGTTGGTCCTTCTAAAAAGGCTTAAGGCAGATTGGTGGGGTATTCAAAGGAGAGGGGGGTGAAAACTTCTGTTTATATGAACATTTTTCAGATTTAGATCTCAAAACATTTAAGTGTTTTAATGTTTTAATCTTGTATGAAAGACTCCGCCCTTCCCTGTCCATCCCTGATGTGTCTGGTCTCCTCTACAGCTCACCACACACATCCTAAACTGTCTTCCCCCATTTGGCTCTGTGCTGCCACTCTGCCCATCTTGCAGGACACTGTACATTCCCACACCTGCCTTCAGACCTTTGAACCAACAACTCGTCTTTTACTCATGTTCCTAACCCCACTTCCCTGACTCTTCCTACCAAAGTTCTGAGTTCTTCCTAATTCCTTATCTTCCAGGTTTAACTTCTGTGAATCTGCTGCTTGCTCTTTCTGAAGTCCAAAGGAACTGCAGAAGGCCCTACTCTATGCTAAGAAATACTTTTTGAATATCAGCTACAATTTAACTCCACATAATTTAGAAACACTATACTTCCTCCACTTCTTGCTGCAATAATGTACAAAATTATCACTTTGCTTTTGTCTCCTCATGCTCACAAGAAAGTAATAAATGACCCCTAGTCAGCAGCTCCTCCCAGTTGTGCATTGTCTGTGAACTTGCTCAGTGTCCCTCCCAGTCCTGTGTCCAAGTCATTTTTGGAGATGTTGAAGAGCACAGGGCTGAGGATGGAGCCCTGCAGAACCCCGGTAGTGACAGGTCCTGAGTCTGATGTCGTCCTGCTCACTGTAACCCTTTGTGCCCCAGCCGTGAGCTCACCCATCACAGGATGTGTTTATCCAGCTGGGGGATGGACATTTTGTACAGGAGGATCCCATGAGAGACAGTACCAAAAGCTTTACTGAAATCCAAAAGCATAACATCAACTGGCTTCTCTTGATCATCTCTTGATCTTGGGTGGAAATCAGCTTTGATAAGCAGGGCTTGAAGCTGGGCTGGCTGTGACCAGTGACTGTCTTGTCCTTCAGGTGCTTTTCAACACCTCCCTCAATAATCTTCTCCACAATTTACCAGTCACTGAAGTGAATGTGACAGGCCTGAAGTTTCCAGGGTCATCCTTCTTGCCCTTCTTGAAAACTTGGACAATGTTTGTCAGCTTCTGGTTAGCTGTGACCTCTCCAGATTCCCAAGACAATTCAAAAATCATGGAGACAGGCCTCACAATGACATCAGCCAGCTCTCGGAGTGCTCTCCCATGGGATGAATCCCATCAGGCCCCATGGACTCACGGGGGTCCAGCTGGAGCACTGGAATGGTCCTCAGGGCTCAGTTCAGGGCACTGAGAGTGGAGTCCCTTAGCCCATCACTGGTGCTGAAGACAAAGAAAGCATTAAACATCTTTGCTTTATGGCCCTGTCAGTGAGGTGACCATCCTCATCCTGTAACAGGCTGATGCTATTGCTGCACTGACTATTGCTACTAATGTATTTTTTAATGTATTCATGGTCTCTCACAGTTCTGGGCAGCTTCAGCTCCAGTTGAGCTTTGGCCACACGAATTCTCTCCCTGCAGTGGTGAACAGCACCTCTGTATTCCTTCCACATCCCCTGACCTTGCTTTCCCTGATAAACAGGCAGTGGGAGGAACTCCTCATTCTCGGTGTCCTCATGGGCATAACAAGGTGACCTAAGAAGGCAGGAGCATAATTCCCTTCTCACTTTTCCTCCTGTTCTGAACCCACAGCTGTAAATCAGGCTTGCAGGAGTGCCTTGCCTAGTCTATCACAGACAGATGTAATAGCAGCAGCTGCAACTTTCATGTGCCTGAATTAGTGGGCACTGTGCCTCCCTATGATCCTCCCAGACATTGCATCATGCCTGGATGGCATTCACTCACCCAGAACCATGGTTTACCATTCCCCAACAAATCTGTAGTTCTCTCTGCTTAGCCTACATTTAAATCATTCTAGTCACTTAAGAAAACATCTAAAAGGAAATAAACACCAATTAAGGCACAGCCACTTTAATGCAATAATGATCAGCTCTGAACATCATTTCCTTGCTTTCTATCTGATAAATCTCCCATATTTGAACATTTAATTTTGTACTTAGATGATGTCTTCTGAGATAAGCTTTAAGCATTACCATCTGTTCTGCAGCAATCACATGATCCTATCACTTTGATTTGGTTGAATACAAATCCCTTTGAAAATAGGAAAACAGCAAAATAACACATTTGTTCCAGAAACCACCACAACTGTAGTTTGTTCAAGGGCTGCTTTAAAGTGGGAGGCAAAAGACACGAGGACACTCTCATGCACACCTCTTGCTGTGCCCCACACTGTCCAGGCAGCATTCTGACACTGAAGGTTCTTGTTTTAGGAGGATTGAGTCAGTGTTTCAGCTGCAGCCTCAAGGGCTGGCAGCCTAGCTGGGGCCCCATGCCTCTGCATGCCTGCTAGCACTTGGAAGCAAATCCTGAGTCAGAGGGAATACACCTTTCTCTTGCAGATGTAAGAGCACTAGAGTTACACCTCTCAGCAATCTCTGAGGCATTTTTCCTGCATCTGTCCTCTGCAGGCAACTGGCGCATGGCCATGGTAAGTTGGCCACTGCCACAACAGCATCTTTGCATCTTTCCTGCTGGTTTCTAGGAGAAAGGCAATTAACAGAGTTTGTACCCACTGTTGTGGCCACCTGTGTTAAGAAAACACCAGTGAAAGGCTGGTGCACATTATGCAAATATTGGATCATTTCTCTACAAGGAATGATTTCCCCACTGGAATGGACCTGTTCACCAGAAAGATGATTCTCTTCAGACTCAAAATGTAGAAGACAATATAGAATACTCTTCTTCTAGATTTGAAAAAAACCCACATTCTATGCTATAAAAAATAACTTGCTTTGCCTATGCAGACAATGTATATACAATCTGGATGAATCACTGCAAAAGGGTGCATTGTAAGTCTTTCGCAGTTATGCCCATCTACACCCCTTCTCAACAAGATGTTACAAACATTTTGTCATTCAGAAGGTAATTTCTGCTTCTTTTCGTCCACTGGATAATTCTCAAAGGGAATACCACAGCTATATATGTGAACAGGTTAAACTGCTGCATACCAGTATTTATAATGGATTGGAAAAAATACAACAATAAACCAATGTACTATAAATTCCTGCTGAATTTGTTAGTATTTCTTGTCTGATATCAGAGCAGTTTCCCTGTGAAGACAAAGTGAGGAAGTTGGGGCTGCTCAGCCCAGAGAAGGGAAGGTTGTGTGAAGACCCCATAGCAACCTGCCAGTATCTGAAGGAGCCCACATGGAAGCCAGAGAGGGACTTTGTCAGGAACTTGTAGTGGTAGGACAAGGAGTAATGGCTACAATCTGAAAGAGAGGAAATTTAGATTGGATATATGGAAGAAATTCTTTACTGTGAGGGTGGTGAGGTACTGGCACAGGTTGCCCAGAGAAGTTGTGAATGCCCTGTCTCTGGAAATGTTCAAAGCCAAGTTGGATGGGGCTTGGAACAGCCTGGTCTAGTGGAAGGTGCCCTTGCCCATGGCAGCTGGGTTGTAACAAGATGACCTTTATGGTCCCTTCCAGCCCAAACCATTCTATGATTCTAGATCATTCACAGACAAATTTAACATTGCATTTTTTCCTTTTATTTTAATGGCACCGAAAAATTAATGGAACGTGAATTTATATATGAGAATTTTAAAAGTGAGAATAAAAAAAATGTTCAGATTTCAGTGGTGCAAAGACAAAAATGTCCTGGACCATGCAGCATTATTTTGTGTTCTCAGTGTTTTCTCCAAGTTTATATGGTCTTTCTATAACTAATCTGCAAGCAGTTGGTGAATATCAGTCTCCCAGAAGCATGTAATCTTTTTTCTATCAAGCTAAATGGGAAAGGGTGATTCATTTTAGACGTACTGATGACAGAAGAGCTCTCAATAGCACTTTATCTGCATTACTTTGTTTGAAAGGAACAGAGTGGAAGTTAAACAAACATTAACAATGAATGCATTTTTTTCAGGAGTGGTCCTCTCGGAAAACGTTAACCACATTAAAGTAGGTGGTTATTGAAATATGCAATTGATTTTAAGTTGATAGAAGATGAAACTGCCACTCACCTGAGCAGGTGGTGGAAGAACCTTCTTGCATATCTGCTGATGGCGTCCCTGTACTCCAGCACAGTTCTATCCAAGAGAGGCCTTGTTGGAGCATAAAAGGTTCCAAGGCTTGCCTCAAGCTGTGCTGTGGAATTCAAACACAACAGCAATGAAACAAGCGAATTAGTTTCAATTACAACAGGTTGCTCATGTTTGCAGTCAGTCAAATTCCTCAAACAGTGATGAAATGTGATGTTGTTGTAGGACAGATTAAATTAAAATATGACAGATTGTACAAACACAAATGTGCATACAAACTTTGGCTTGGAGGCATAGCTGACAATGACTTTGAGCAACAAAAGCTATCAAAAGGATAAAGAAGTCTATAACACATCCAGTTCTCACCAGCAGCCTACAACTAAAAGTGACTCATGAGACTAATACAGTGTGAACAAGATTGCCCAGTAGAGATCAACTCTCAATTAGTTCAAATCGTCTTTGTCCTCTTAGGCAAACAACAAGGGAGTTCAGTTTTTCAGGGATTATTGTGTTAGGTCAGCGGGTAACAGAACCCTCTTTGTCATGGCCTTGAGGTCTAAGGAACCTCCTTCAGCCCACATTTCTTTAAAAATTTTAAATAAAAGGGTCTAGAAACCCTAAGGGTTTGACAGCATGTAGTGGTGGGAAACAGGAAAACCTCCCTTGTAATCAATAAAATAAAGCCCTTTTGTTACACGAGTTCTCTCTTCTTTAAATACTTTCTGACTGCTACACTCTACAGCTCAAGCTCGTAGGCATTTTTCTACACATTTTTAATACAAAATTATAAACAATACAAGTAAACATACAGTATACTTGTGTGTCACACATGCTTAGATGAAAGGAAATGAAATGATCAATAATATTTATGCTCTTTGACTTTTGCTTGAGAGTCAACAATGTAGTACAAGGCCTTATAGGCTGAAAAGGAAGGATTTGTTATATATGCATTTGTTGCATATTTATGTTGTTCTACAAGAAAAATGTATTCTCATTGATTTGTCATAACTAATGTTTGTTTGAACTAGGCATTTCTGTATTGAGGGATGGTGGTTCTTTACTTCCAAGCATAGTTACATTTGATTTTATTAGGCTTGATAGCGCTAAATGTGCTAATAGTACTGTGTTAGTTACACAGGCAAACTGTTAGTAAATTAGTTCTGTATTATCTCCAATCTAGATAGTAAGATAAGTTGAATATTAAAGGTATTTTCTTTCAAAGCAGCAGTCAATTTAGATTGAAATAGAAAAACAAGCCATACTCTCTTGCCATTGCTGTTTTCTTGACAGCATGTTTCGTAGTTGTGAAATATTTCAACTGACATGGAATATGAATAACTAGTAGCACAGTTATACATTCATTAAATAGCCCAGCTTGATGTAGAAGGCAGGATAAAGATCTCAAAGATAACTGCCCCATCACTATAAATAAAAGGTCCCACTGGGTTTTGTTAATAAAAAAGAAAACAAATTACCATGCCAAATTTGTTAGATTTAGATAGAATAACTCCTGGATGGAATAAAATTCTGTCTGCTGTAAACAGTGTTAGGGAGCTGCATGGGGGTAACACACAGACATCTGTTTATAATGTACATATTTTTAGAAGAGTATCATAGCTTTTCACGGGTCCTTTTCAAAGCATGTTTTATTTAGAGTCTATATGTTGTGTTTGCAACACAGAGATTTTTTAAAATCAGATCCCACAAAATGGGATAGCTGATGGCTTGGCAGCAATGTAGGACACCTTGGAGTTTTTCTATCATCAAACACACCAGAATCCTAAGTATTCTCTCTTCCCACAAAAGATGCCTGGTCTCCAGCTGTCTGCCTGCTAGACTGAAGGATAACACCTTCACTAAATCAAGGCACTTCAAATCTTGAAGTCTATTGAGTTTCAAGATAGACAGCAAATCAAGAGGAAGGCACCACACCAGGCTGCAGCAGAGACGGGGCTAAACCTAAGATTCATCATTTCTTCTGAGGGACCCCAGCTACTACTGCAGGGGGCTAGATTACAGTGAGGACAAATGCTTTAATCCTAAAGGAGGCAGCAGAGGATAGTGTATTCAAGGCCTTTGCATCTTGTAATGAAAGAATGACCCTTTGAAAGCACCTGAAAAAACATACCAAAATCTCTTGTCCCCATTGCAGGAAAACATCCCTCCTTAAGTTGGTGCTGTCTCAGCATGAATATAACACAAATTTTTCAATACTTTATTAACTAACCTTTGTCTGTAACATAAGCTAAATTTATAGAATGTAATGAAGTTACAGAAGATAATGCTAGTCCTATATATATATTAAGTAATGCCTATAGCATAGATATATACATATATATATTACAATGTGCATTTAGTGTCACTGTTGATATAAACTAAAATGTAATCAACACATTGGTCCAGATTTTATTGAAATTACTTGTCTACAATGACATGTGATTATGAGGCACCATAATCTGGCTGAATGTCTGGATTCTCACTACTGTCTTCTTCATACAGACAATAAATACATTGTCATAATCCACACATGAATTACCAAGACACCACGAAAATCCATTAGGAATATAAACAGTCTCTTACCTTCTCTGGCTGGTGTAAGCTTTTGTTTAAGAAGGTGGTTGCAAATGGCACTCAGGCAGATAAAGCACTGCTGCCCCATCGTGTTCCAGTTCATGGTGCTCAGGACATTAACTGCCTCCTGTATCTCATCGTAACGAATGTACTGGTGGATGATTTCCACAAGGCCCAGCTGTCCTCTTGTGAGCACACCTTTAACAAGAAATATTACAAACAGAGATAATGGGTTTATACTTTGGTACAGAGTATGTAAACCAGTAGCTGACTCCTTTTCAGCACAATTAGAAATAGTTGTCATAATTTAAAATTAATGTTTTTCAGTATTAAATGTTTTATAAGAGATAGCACCTTACTATCTTACCCTCTATCCAGAGGGTGCTGGACAGCAGAAAAAAATCATCAATGAACTTCAGCACATGGATACTGAATGAACATTGCCAAAAGTCACTGGTGGCAACACCACATAATGAAGTTTGGCTTAGACAAGGTAGAACAAGTTTATTTGCAGTTTATTTCTTTTGTAAGGTAGGTAATAAATTCACTTTCACAGCATCTCCCTCCTGTAGGGAAATAACTGCTGGACAACACTAAACCCTAGCATTTGCCTCACACAGATGTCTGTGTCTACAAGTGTAGAGCAGCTCCAACCTCAAAGCAACTCTTACTCAATTACTCTCCATATTGCAACTGCTCTGGAACCTCCTTCCAGCTTGGCAATATTCTCTAAACAGAGCATTTTTTCTGAGGGGATACCATGGAAGTTATCAACATCTTGATACTATAGACCTTTGAATTACAGTTGCACATGAAACCAAGAAAAAGCTTGCTACACAAATGTTTCTTGATTTGTACATCTCAGCTTCCAAACAGAAAAGGTGACTAAAAAGCTGCAGGAAGTAATGTTATTTATTGTCTCTGTCTAACTGAATGATCATGTAGCATTGTCCACACAGCATTTTAGCAACTCCTGCTCACTTTGGGTCATCCTGCTAGAGTATTCTTTATCAGTCCTCCTCCAAATATTAGAAAGAGACCAGAATAAATGTACTGTTTTTCTCTCTTTAAATAAAAACATAGTTTTTGGGTTGTCTTTGCTGTTGGTTTTTATTATTTTTTTTTATTATTTTCTCAATTTATATTCTGATGTCGTTTGTTGAAACTAAAGATATGGGAAAAGTTCTGATGAGAAAGGGAACAAGATGAATTTCAGTACTAGTCTTAAAACCATAGGACTGGCTGGGGGAAACAAAGCCTAGTAACAGAGAAAAGCAGACCTGTTACATATAAAACATACCTCACCAAACATTTGTAACTGTTGTGAATACTGTTTAGATGTGAAATAAGAAGTGAGGGAAAAAAAGGGGAAGAAAACATCCAAATATAGCTTGAGGAGAAGCAAACTGCTGAGAAGTTGCATATACAGAACTGATGTTTTTGGGGAAAAATCTTACATATTTATATCTAGTAACAGAGAAGTACTTAATTTTTAGCACCATTAAAGAAAGGTTTTCTATTGTATTTTACCTTATATTTGTATGTATTAAAGCCTATGGATATTATGCTGGGTAACAGCCATGTTTAACATGTTAACATTTAATAGTTATGGCAGACTTTATTCTTCCTAAATGTTTAGTGTTTGTAAAATATTACAGCAGCTGGGCAATCTCCACATTAACCTTTCAGCAAAGATGAAACTACTTATTTTCATGTTAATTAAATACAATACTATATTTAAAATGCCTTTAGAGGCCAGCAAAGCTGAACCACTGGCACCAGCACCACATTTGGCATTATTCAAGATCTGGGTTGACATCAATGATGAGAAGCCGCTTTTGGAAATGAGTTTGGCATTAGACACCAAAAATATTTGCCATTAGTGTTTGAGGGTATGTTTAATATGACTTTTTCCTGAAATAAATCTGGATAGACAGCATAATGGAGATTCACAGAACTTGTCCAAAACCATAATGTAGCTGGAAGTTAAAAACATATTTGTTTGTTCTCACTGACACAGTTTCTTAACTGACTTCTGTGGGAAACAATTCCAAGCCATGTGTTACTCATGCATTTTATTTCAGTCCTGAATGTGTGTCTGGGTCTTGCTGTCATGAGCCCCTAAATTTTTGCTAGAATTTATTTTTGCATTTAATTAATTTATTTATTTGTTCTGCATTATTTCTTAAGTAGCAGAAACCTAAAAACTGCTGAGAAGAGGGACTCACTAATAACCAGTGCTCCCTTGGCAGTGTGGCAAACTGAGGAGATGAGGTGTAAAGCTGAGCAGCAGGATGAAACAGAAAGCAGCATATTTTTGCACGGTGGACTACAAAGAGTGAGAGAGGGAAGAAGGGAAAGAGCTTTGCCTTCTTCCTAGAAGAGATTTTACAGTAATTATACAGAATGAATTTTAAAATGTGATAACTTTCAGCTGTAGAGGTCAACATCTTCCCATTTGGATGCTTGACTTCTCCTGGGTGGTGCGCTTCCAGGCAACCTGCTTGGGAAAAAGAGGTGACAGCCAACTCACTGCCTAATTGATTTAGGAACAGTGCCCAGGGAGACAGTCCAATTAAGTTTACAAGCTGGCAATTAGCAGGAAAGGCCTCTAAATCCCTATACTGAGAGCCTGCTTGCCTTGGTAAGAACATAAATGTGCTAAAGATAGCAAGGGGAAAGCTGTGCATTCTGGAAAGCTGTTGTGAGAAAACCTCACCAGGGAGGGCTGAAGAAAAGCAAGGTAGAGGTGGGTAGAGTGCCTCCTGCTCAACTGCATCCCACCAAATCAGGACAGAGATAATTTAGAGGATTTTTTTTTAAATGGCCAACATGCACAAAACCATCAAATAGCTGTTATAATTAGTGTTCTGGGGTACTCTGTAACTATTAAACCTGTCATTGAACTCAATGCAGCTAATTATCTCAAAATAAATGATAAGCCGTAAACAGGTTTTTAAATAGTTTTTTTGGATAACAGCAATAATCTGGATCAGCTCTTTTAAAACTACACAACTATAAGTCAATCCAATATTATTTTTTTTTTTTACTAACATCCTATTATATTAATTTACCTTTTTGTAGTGGCACACTTGGTTAAATTTTTTTAATTCAGTTTTTCAAATTTTCAGGTCTCTGCTAATTTTAGAGAGTTTTTTCCCCACAAAAGCACATGTGTCTCATTAAGTAAAGAAATAGAGTAGATTTTCAAATCTTACTATCACCTAGGTTGTTGAGTCTTTTGGTGTGTTGTTTGGTTTTGGTTTTTCTTTTATAAAAAAGGCTTCTTTCTAATCTCAATAGCTTTATACAAAAGAATCATTAAAAACTCCCATAAAGATCTACAGAAGTAATCCTGTTTTCTTGGACAGACAATGGGCAAAATGCTGAAATCTTCCAGGATGGCTGTCTGCCCTGCTGAAACACTGGCTTGGGAGTCAGAGGGTTTAAACATGATTATTTTTTTAGCTTTCACAATGGGCTTGCACCACTGTAACTTGCCTGACTTGAATGAAATGAATACAGTTCTCACTGATGAGCCACTGCAGGGGTTTTATTCTTAGTTCAGCCACTGTGTAACTCTTGGAAAGCCCTTTAGCTTTTCTTTACTGCTTCTTGTTTTTCTGCTTGTAAAAGGAAGCTAGTTGTGGTTTTACTCTTTTAAAGTCTCTTCACACCTAAAATAAGAAGTGCTATATAAATTCTAAAATTAGCTTTATTACTTCCTTTATTCACAAATCCTTGCAAATTAATTGAGAGACCAAACTTCTCTGAAGGTTATGAAAAGCATGCTTGTTCTGTGGAAAGTCATCAAAGGAAAGAAAAGGTGCAACTTCATTTACTGAGGCCAGGAAGAACAGAATACTGGACAAAAATACATCACACATGCAAAAAAACATTTGGTAAAGAAAATAGCATTACTATTCTATTATTAAATATAGCTTATTTTAAACTGTTAGGATTATTACTACAGAATGAATACAATTCTTAAGATTACATACTACAGATTAAATGAATTTTCCAGAGGAAAAATTGTTGTGTTTTATTAAAGTAGTGAGGAACATTATGGGATGCTGATCAGACAGCGGATTGGGGTCCTATTCTATGAATAGGAAACAGTATAAAGTTATTGTGAAACATAAAGAATTCCTTGGTATCTTTAGATATCTTTGGAACAATTTGCTTTTAAGGCTATGGTCTCATATACTTAAAATTAGGGTGTTCAAAACCTTGTGGGATACAGATGTTTCTTTGACAGCTCAAGGTTCAACAGATATGCTTAGTAACTTACCAAGTTTAAAGTGAAGCACTCCCAAGGGTCCTTTATCAAATCTAACCAACAAAAGATTGTGAATATCCATGCTGTCAGGACTGGGAAATGCACCTTGAGGAGCAGCCCACTGGATCTGGATGAGGCTGGTGGGCACCTCACAGTGTTTACTGAACTGCAGAGTTGCCTCAGGTGAATAGTCCTGTGCCAAGAGCTGAATTTTAACTGGGGACAGCGCCGTGTCAAAAAGCTGCAGCTCCCCTTGAGAGCTGCCAGCCACCAGCACGGCTCCGCAGGGGTGGTAGGCAATTACGGCAGGGAGCAGCTCTGCTTGGGCCAGCAGAGTCACTTGGCTGTAGGCTTCGTACAGAACTACTGACGAGTCTTCACAGCCCAGCACCAGCTTGTCTTCTGTCACATCCCTGCAGCAGCTGATGGCCCTGGCTCGCAGGGGGATCCTGGTGACGGCGGCGCACTGGATTCTGTTCCTGACGCACTTGTAGACGCAGCTGTCGGCCATGGGCTCCTTGGCTGCGGACACCGAGCGCTCCACCGTCAGCACCTGCTGGGGCTGGAGACAGCTGAAGCTGGCATCCAGCGGGTCCCACTCCGTGCGGACGTAACTCAGCACCTGGCAAAAACCCAAAGCCCTTTGGTACTCCTTTGTAGCCATTTACTCTTAAAAATTGGCTGCTGCCAATGCGCTTTCCTGTGGGTCAGTCACAAATAGGCATTCTCAAAATGGAGCTCTGAAATCTACTCTTTTAACATTCAAAAGGTTAATTCAATTGATTAAGAAAACTCTGCAATAGAGTTTGAGACATACTTGTTTGTCTGGATCTATGTAACAGGTTAGCAGAACAGAAGATAAAAGAGGGGATGGTCCAAATGGTGATGGTAAGAGGAGAAAGGACAGATGTAAAAGAATAACTAATTATTCACAAGTGGGCTGGGGTAAAAATCCAAAAATTCCTGGAAAAATCTATAGTAAGTTACTCTGAGCATCGAGCATAGAAGATTTTTGATCATTTGCTTTGGGCCATGGTAACAGAAAATATTACACTGTAGTGGTGGAAACAATGGCATGTTAAAACAACACCTACTATACATTGCCAAATGAGTAGGTGGTAGATGTTCTTCGGTGCCATACAGTTTTAGATGCAGAAAAAATGAATTTGTGATAGCAGAAAAGCAGGGACTATTACAGGGTACTTGAAAGTTAAACGAATGGGAGGAGGAACACAAAGGCAGAATGTGATAAAAAGACAGCAGATGGCAAAGAGCAAGAAACTGCAGTGTGGAAACATGGGAAGTCCCCTTAAGAGGTGGAAGCAGCAGTGGAGACCAATGAAGGTTCATGTACTATGATAAATGGGTTTGAATGAGAGATGTACAGGATTTGAGCAGGGAAACCATAGGAGAAAAAACAGCTGTAAATAAGTTACAGATGAGCTTATGAAAAGCTATTTCATAAAAAACAGAGAGAAAACCCATGGGTCTAGAAGAATCGGAGTAGTGGAAGTCAGTCAGAAACTTGCTGGTGTTTGTTCATGTAGAAATAAAGACTGAAAGGAAAATGTGAACCTGAGCTGAGCCCTGCTCTCATGGATACCCAGGGCAATCTCCACATTGTAAATTAAAGCTGCTGACCTGCCACAACTTTTGGAAGCCCCTTGAGACCAGTTGGTATGAAAGCACAGAAAGGGGTAAAAAATGTGATTAAAAGGTAGAGAGAGGATGAGGAAGGAAATCTAGAAATTTCAGGGTGAAAACAGAAAGGCACACATAATGTTAGAGCAATTCAAATTTTATTTCCACAGTTCACAAGACCAACTGAATATGCAGTTTAGCCTTTCATCCTGTAAAGTAGAATAAGCAATTCAGATATTTTTTTGGCATACCACCCTTTGCTTCTAAAGTAACTGATAAATTTATAAACAAGCTTTTTGGGATGTTGATCAGACTGATTAGGATGTTTTGTTCTGACAGTTTACCTCTTTTGTCAGCAAAAGGGTTTCTCACTCAAAAAAAAAGAAAAAAAGGATTATTGCAATTCTCTGGCTGGAAACCAGATGACAATTAATACAAAAATATTTGCTACTTTTAGATGAGTAGCTAGGGACATGCAAAGAACCACTTAATGTAAAAGCACCTGATGCAGAAGCCAATGCAACCAACCTGTGAAAACCACATTAACCAATCTCAACAGAGATCCATGAAAATATGTATCAAAGGGGAAATAAAAGATTACATTACTTTTATAGTCTGAAAAACATTTTCTCACCTCAACCATTCCCTCACCAATGGCTTAGCCTCTGCAACTAGTCTTTTTATGCCCACAAAACCTTGCAGTGGCTACCGTGCAGATGTTAGAACTGCTGAAGTGTGTTTATTAGGGTGTTAAACTGCATGGCAAGGAAACTCCTAAAAGAGATTATTCTGGACAGAGGATTACTGTAGCCATAGAGTTCTCTAACTCCAAATAAAGACAAAGTGAAGTATTACTGTTTGTTCTGCAGTTTTCCCTAGGAGCATGTATAGAGACCCAGGTAGCTCCCTTTCAAATGTGTGAAACAAATCTTGCCCAAGCAAGTCTTCAAAGCTTCCATAAGTTCAGTGAAATGAGCCTTGAGGCTCTCTGGGACTCACATTTCTGTCTTCCTGTGGCAAGTTTCAATGTACTGCGTTATTCTGCTACATATTTTGACCCCAAACAAGTATTTTTCTGTGGACAACTCTTGAAAAGCTGCAAGAAAGTCATGAAGATCTACACAATAATCAGGCCTGTGAGAGATGAGAGCCTGAAAACACTATTAAATTCTGAAGAGACTGGCCTTGAAGGTTAAAGCAATAGAGAAGAAAATGTGTGAAACATGGATTTTACAACTCCATAGGAGTGCCTGGAGGAAAACAGCAATGAAAACAGTCGCAGAAAAAAATAAATGTTGCCATATGATTGTCTGAGAATCAGCAAATAAACTGGATCAAATTCATCATCTGTCTTCTTAGAGCAAAAGTAGGACAAAAATGATGATCACTACCTTGAATTTCAAAGGAAGTAAAATCTTTCATTTTGGAAGACTAATTTAATGAGTCTTGAGATGAGAAGCTTCCTAGCTTCACTTAGTTTAGAGAGCAAAACCTTGAAATGAAGACTAGGGTAGGTCTGGTTGCTGTATGTAACACAATTCTAAACTAGGAAAAAGTTCCTGCAAGGAGAGAAACCCTTTGTTGCCTTTCAAAACATAAGGTTTGGCATAATGTTTAAACACATAAGGTTTAAAGGAAACCTTTCTAGACACTGCTGTTCAAATTCTGGCTGAAAACAAGAGAAACATTTCTCCTCAGATTGGAACAGATAAGCTGCTTCTCATGCATCAGTGGCCTCATGTGCCTCTTGCAGGAAGAGAACCAAGCCGAGAGACCTCTTTGTTCTGCCTTCCAGTTCTGCTGAATGTGTCTGGTGTTCAGCATTCTGAAGGTGAAAAATGAATATTCTCTTTCATCTGAGAGGGAAGATTCGGGTTTCTCTGTCAGAAATTAGTTTTATTATTCATTGTTCATGCCACTAACTGGAAGACTAAAGCAGAGAGACACACAACTACAGAAACATTAATAATGCTAAGATAATGCCTTTGAAAGATAAGAAGTCTAATAATCAAAACTTTTTTTTTCCCCAAGAAGATGGTATTCTGCCAATTGTTTTTCTATCTGGTAAGTAGACACATGGTAGTAAATGTAGTGCATATTACATTTAGCATATTACTTTAGCTTTCCATTTAAAGGAATCCACTGAGATTCCTTCCTGATGAGCAGTAGTTCTCTGGAAACAAGGTTCTCCTAAAAGGTGACATTAAAACATTTAACAAAACATTTTTATATGGAATGGGAAAACAAAAGCTGGAAGAATTTCCTCAGAAATGGGTAGAACAGGTGTCATATTTGTGGAGAAGGGGACAAGGCAGTGGATCTGAAAAGAAAGAACTGTAATATCACAAGGCAGGGTGTATAGTCCATTCAACATTAAATACTCCCCATAAATCTTGGACTAAGCACTTAGCCTTGGATTTCAAGAAAAGATTTCTGGAAGTATTTTGCATGAAGTAAAACCAACTACTTTCTTTAAAATAAATGCATTAATTTAAAAATTTAAAAGTTCTATTACATGAATGCTGGATAAAACACAGTACATACATTTAAATACTGTCCATGTAATTTATACATATTTCCTTTATTAATGTAGCAGTCATGCACCACTACTGCACATTTATATTGTTTTTCCCTTGCAGTACTGCCCTGGACTCTGCCTCAGTTCATGAGCAGGATGAGGGATGCCAGGTTCCCAAATCCTAGAGCCAGGAATCATAACTATCCAAGTAAAGGAATCTGTTAATCTTTGTAAATAAAAGGCCTGCTATGCTATTTAAAACTCTCTTTCATTTTATGTTTGAGAGAAATAATAGTGCTAGCTTGTGTGAGCAGTATCACTCTTCTCAGTGAAAATCTTTGAGCACTTAAAATTGAAGTATTTTGCATAAAGAGCTGGGAAAGGATAAAGTCCACATAGCAAAACAAGTAAGAGTTTTAACCAGTAGTTCTTAAGCAGAAAATTGGCTTACCAGGCAGATGAAAAAAAAGAACACAAAAGAAACATAGAAATGAGCTTGCTGTGACTGAATTGTGTGTCTTTCAGATGAGAAAAAAATGTTTGATTTATTTTATGGATGTTAAAAAAGTGCTTATTGAATTTCACACAGTGAGGTTCCAAATAGGAACAAACATTTTAATTAGAAATGTGAAGTAGGAAGTGTGCTGCACACCAAACTAAAATAGTTTTAAATATGGCCCAGTGAAGTTGGAAGGAAAAAAAAAACCTCATCAAAAACATTTCTAAATAAAAATGAAAGGTTCCTTCTCTAGTTTACTTACTTGGCTTCATTGTATCTACAGACCTACAATCTTATTATTTAGATCTCCAGTCAACACTTATTTTCTTTCAAAATTTACAATAATCATCTTTATCCTGTATTATTCATTGAACTTCTAACCCAATGTGACACTGAGGATTTCACATTCTTTGCTGTATATGTGTGTGAAAGGTATTTCAGCCATCCAGACACACAGGGTAGATGTTTTTCTGAGCACTCCAGTAACTGTAGGACAGCTCACACAGGAAAGATCTGCTGTGCTTATTTCACAAATCCGAGGCACAATGTGAAAGCAATAACTATTAAATGTTATCTCTTGGGAGAAAGAAAAATAATATTCTCTCTCAGGGAAATTATTTTTTCCACAAGATTGAAGCATAATTTCAGTCATTCCCACTAGCTCTAAATGGAATGAAAATAAGAATGGCAAAGACAAATGCAAAGTGCTACAGTAACTGAGCCCTGGCATCAGCACCTCCTCTTAATTTGTGTTTGCAGAATAAAGTTCATGTTGATTTGAACATGACTTTCTCCCAAAGCATTTAATCCAAAGATCATTTCACATCAGATCCTATTCATTCATAGCAAATTGTCTGAAATAATTTCTGGAAGATTCCTCTTCTGGTTTTGAAATCAAAACACCAGCATTATCTCCACAGGGAGACAATTTAAATAACATCCTTTGATTTTTGGTACTTTAAGGTTAAAAACACCCAACAAACCCCAAACAAAATAAACCAAACAAACTCCCAATAATAAAATAAATAAATTAGAGAATGGGTGAGTTTTCTGGAGGAAATGCATGCACACAGGAAAGCAAAGGTCCAACAGACAAATACTCCTGCAGCAACATGCATTGCACACCGAAGCAAGGTCACATGCTACAGAGAAAAGCACTTTTATTTCTTCAAGGGACAATTTTTCACCAAATCTTAGAGCATTCAACAGAGTAAACACTGATCTCAGACAAAAAAAAAAGATAAAAATCAGCAAAATAAGTCAAGATTTGCAAGAAAAAAGTTATTTCTGTTTCTTGAGGAATAATGGTTACCTGTAGCCTTAACCGTAGTAAATGCTAAAAATATAAAGCCATGTGGCAAAATTCAAATCAAATTTCTATCAAATCTAAAATTTCTACTAGAAATTTTCTAATTTCTAGTGATTAAAAAGTAAAATGTATTTCCTTCCCTAAATTGAAAAGCTGCTGAAGCACACAAGAGCCCAAACACTCCATGTGCAGTGTGAATCATCCCAGCACAGAACGTGTAGGTACAGGTGATGATCATGATGAGGGCTTGAGCTGTCTCATCCCAGAGCTATTCCTGTCCTCATCCTAATAAGGATTATTAGGCTGCCACTCTTCTGGTGGGCAGCCAGCATCACTCAGAAAATTCTTCCAGGCAGGAAGTAGTACCACATAAGTGCCCATTTGCCTTTGCTCTGCCCCAGCAGCAGGAGTGGCAGCAGCTGGCAGGATATTTTGTGGTTTCTGTAGGTCAGCACTGAGGTGATGGCTGTGGGGAGCATCCATTCATTTCCTTGGGCTTGGTTTCATAAACCAAACATGCCAAACAGCTCTTTATGGTCTTGTTATTCAGCAATTCCTGTTTTTCTCCTAATTCTATATAATAATGCTATTTTATCCAGCTGATACTACTATTTTCAAGTGAAATGTTGGTGGTATTACTTTACTACACTTCTTTTGGATAAATGCTCTAAGTAAGTTCATGCTTGTCATTCTCCTAGTATTTACAATAATCTTTCACTGGGAGCAAATTAATATTACTGGTCAAATATGATAAGTATGGATTTACTTTCATGAATAACAATGGCATGTCCAGTTTTTATTTCAAATCTGTATCTGAGGAATACTACAAATGACAAGGTATTAGAAGCAAAGAGAGGCCAACAAGCATGATTACAGAACCACTGTTTTTTTGTGGTATCTGACCCAGAGAATAACTGTTTGCAAGCTGTCTAGAAATGTTAGCTGTGTTTGGTTTTTTTCCATGTATAAGCTATCAAATGTCCTTCAGAAGTTAAAGGTGATAAGTTAAAGTTTCCCTCCAAGACTGTAGGGGAAAAATGCACCTCAGTTAAATGCAGACTGGGGGTTGATGCTAATTCTACAGATTCTGGGTTATGACATTCTCCCTGCATGTACAGGAATTTAATCCCTGCCCATAAGGAACTCAAGAGAAATCAAACAAAAAACCTCAAGCAAACACCACCATGGGTGACTCATCATGGACATATAGGCTAAATGTATAGGCAGAGTTACCTGAGGCTTCCTGAGCATCCAGGAGCTGAGTACATGGCACAGCCTAATTGACAACCAGCAAGACAGTTCGTTACTCATCTATGACTAATTTTTCCATAGCTCTGCCATAGTGCTTAGTATTTTATTGATAAACACAAGGAAAAAAAAAAATTCATCCAAAGATCTAAGAATTAAAACAGAAAAGTAGAGACAAAGAATCAGAAAGGGGAAAGCAACTGAACAGTCAAATCCAGCAGTGCTACTTTTAAGAAAGTTTCTTCTATTTCTGTTACAATATAGGCCAAATTAAAATTATTATGACTTTAAGCCTAAACCCTCAGGGAATGTTCATTATCACTACTGTGTAAAGCACCAGTGATGTGCTTGGGACTATACTAGAGTTTAAACCAGAAAGGGATAAAACAAGGTGTATTGAAAGATGCAGGGGAATGATGTGATTTGGCAATCTCCCTAAAACATATTAAATGAAACACACAGAGCTTTAAACTGTCAGGGTGGTTTCTGTTAATTTCTTAAAAGAAAGGAGTCTCTAAAAAACCATCTCAGGAAACAGAAATTGCAAACTGCTATGGTGGCATTAGGGAGATTTCTGGAAGACATGGGGAAGAATAAAATAGGCACAGGAATGCTGCTGTCAGAACCTGGACTTAGAGAAGTCATGGTAAAAAATAAGGTCTGAAATGTTAGTAGGATGAAGTTTCATAATAACTGGCACAGGGCTGGAAAAGCTTACAAAGAACAGCCTCACATTTTAGCTCCCAGAGTAATTTTTTCTGTGTGATTTGGCATAGCTGCAGGGGAATGGAGAACTGCAGGTGTAGATCAGGCAGAGGAGAGAGATGAGTCAAAGATGACCGCAAGTAGAGAGAGGTCAATTGAAAAGAAGTAAAGAAGGCAGAGCTGGAGGTAATTTAAACTTCAATTCTACAGTGACTAATGACAGAAATAAGAAAAGAAAAGCTGTCTCAGCTACCTTTTCTCTTCACTTTCAATAGGTAGAAAATCCCAAGGGAAAAGAATCTCACTTAAATGAATATTAGTTATCAAAGTAATAGTTCCAAGACATTAAAACATTTACATCTTCCCTAATTAAAGAGAGGAGGATGCTGTTTGTAAGAGTAGCTTATTCTTAAGTGTTACTTAGGGATTTTCCCTACAGGGAAATAGTCTGCAGTAGCTAATCCAGAACAGCTATTTCACAGCTGATCCTTGAGTTTGTGCTCTTCTCCTACAGTCAGTGCCTTTTTAGTCCATATTAGAAGTGGGTAAAGATAAACAGAAAATAAAATTCCAAATACAGAATCATCTATACAAGATGTTAGTCCAGGAAAGCTTTTACATTTTAAATTCAGACTCTGAATCTTTCAGAGTATGCCCAGATAACTTCATTTTTATATTTCTACCTAATAAAACAAATTGGATTCAAACATTCTTAAACAGATTAAACAAAAATTAAATATCTGAAATTAAAACATCTGCCTGTAAATGTAAGCAAAGCAGGTGTCAGGAGGAGAGTCAGCTTGTTGCTTTGTCCCAACTCATAGCTTACATTCCCACCTGTAGATAGGGAGTTTTAACTTTTCCTTTGAGAAAAATATCAGTCCCTGATTTGACCAATACCCAAAACAAAAATTTAACCACCATCTGGGCAGAGCTAATATTTTATGAAAAACACTTGAAAGAGATGTAAATTGCCTATCAATTAACATGGCAGTGTAAAATAATTGCATCAGACATACATGCAACAGTTACAATTGCTAATTCATATTAAAGTTTTCTAGTGGAACTCTGACACTTCTATTTTCAGTTTCAGCAGCACCAAAGCTATTTCATGATAAAGACCTAATTTCCTGACTACATTTCTCAGGCTGACAGTTTTGATGTGAAAATAGTAAACACAGTAAAGAAGGTGCTTTTCTGTTAAATAAAAAACCTTTGTTTTTACTATTAGAATATCTGATCTTCCTGTCTTATGTTTTAATCATATCTATTCTTTATAGCTACTCGATTACGCATTTAAGTTGAATAGCTCTTTCTTTAGCAAATTTGAAAAAATCATGTAACAAGACAGTTCATCACTTTACCTCCAATTTGCCATGTGCACAGCCTAATAGCAATAGGTTGGCTCTGTCCCTCTGACAGGAAATAGGAGACCAAGGCCATGCTCCATCACTAGCTGCTGACCACCAGCAAATGACCAGATCTTGCATAGAGTTTATTGCCAGGTGACGTTTCATTCTTCTACCTTCTGGTCCAAGTATATCAACATAAGAAATCTGATGGAAGAAAAAAATGCAGGGAATATTGGAGGTGATTAAATAACATGGTAGGAGCAAATGGGGGTGTTTACTTTGGATGTGTGAGAAGGAATGTATATATACACAGAGAGCTGCATACATATATCTTCATAGAGGCTGTCTGTAAACGTGAAAAATATCTCCTCAGACAGAAAGACATGCTCACTCTTTTATCTGTGGGGAGGGGATTGGGATGGAAAGGAATATGAGTTAAGAAGGAATTTACTGCAATGACTCCAATCAATACCAAAATGTACAGTCATGGTTGCTTGACAGCATCGACCTCCACACAGGATTTAAGCTTAGCCATATTAAATGACAAGTTCTGCAAAGCTGACCACGGAGCTAAGGCTAGTGTTTAAGACATAATCAAATATTAAATATATTCTACAGTATTTGAGCAAACATATATCTTTCTTCTTCCTCCCCAAATTAAGGAATGGAAACACAAACATCCGCTTTGCAAAAGAACATATACTTTTCTGCATAATGTGGATGAGCTACAGCATCATGCGTAAAGTTTATGCAGCTCTTGAGAATTGTGCCTCTTTCTCAGGAAGGATTTGTGGAATTTATTATTCAAACTCTGTTATTTGGAGCATGGTTATTTGAAAACATGAGCAGTGCACCATCTGGGTGACACATGCCAAGGAAATATAGATTGCACCGCATTTCTGCTTAAGGAATTAATGGAAGGTTGATAGCTAGGGGAAAAAAAAACTATCTTGCCATTGCTGGTCAGCAATAATCGAACCACTTTCTGGGGATTAAGCGCATGGCTAAGCCTACTGGACCAGACACTAGCAAAGGGCAGGGGGTCTTCTTATCAGAGAAATGCTTCTGGAGCCAGTCTCACTACATGACAGATTGCTTTCATATTCCTGTCTGCAAGGCAACAAAGGCTGGCAGTAATGCGATAATGCCAGAGTGCAATGGGTGTTAAGAACCCGTTGCATTTATGTATTGTATTTAGTAAATAATCAGGCTCATCCAAATTGTGATCTCAGCTCTCAACCAAGGCCATTAAAATCAAGGTTAATGCTTTAATAATCCTTTGCTGTTTTTTATATGGTCAAAAAGAACCCTTTTCTATTTGCATGGTCATAATATTATTGACCTCTTCATCCCATGAATACACATAAAAAGGAACTGAAATCAAAGTAATTACCAATGTTGTTCTCTCATGGTAAACATTTAACTCCTTGTTCTGTTGCCTTCAGTAAATTGAAATGGATTAAAAAAACACAGACAGGAAAAACTTGAAAAAGGTCAATATTTTTAGAATATCCTGTGTTTTACTTGTCAAAATATTTTAACAGGTAAAGATAAAACATACATAATAGTTAGGATGTAGCTGCTACTTGAATTAGAATAGCTAATTTGGTGACAACACATTGATTAGGCTGGAAAAGCACATATACTTCCACAAGTATTAATTAGTCCTGCATTGTAGTGTTAGCTGTTAATAACAATTGCACATGTCGTAACAGCCACAGATCTTTGTTGACCTTTATGTCTTGCATTAGACATGTCACTCTCAAACATGGATTCATGTCACTGAGAAAAGGCAAATAATAATAGTTGGTTTTTATATTTCGCTGGTTTTCAAGACTACTAGTCATTCATATAATAAGTCTTCCTTTATTGCTTCAAAGGGCAAATAAAATTCATGGTGGTATCAATTAGAAAGGAAGAGCACAGGGAGGTTAATTCATTCATTTAGGTATGCATCGCATAAAAAACTCAACTTTAATAAAAATATCAAGCTGTGATGAGGAAAGCATGGTTGACTTGTTATTATTGGCAGAACCCTGGCAGTCCAGCACTGCTGCCAATTTTGCCCACCATGAGCCTGGACATTGAACAATGTGAGATTTCTTATCATTACAATGACAATATGTCAGAAATTTAATTATATCATTACAAACACTTTCCTCATTTTAGAAACGGGACTGTAAACCCAAATACTACATTTCTCAAGACTATGCCAAAAGTCAGAGGCGGAAATGAAGGTTACAATCAAATTCCCTGAATCTTGGCTCCAGATTTTAATCCTGTGTTAGTTCTATATCAGTGCACACTACGTTTCTTATTCAATTTCTCTTGAACAAAATCTCAGCTCTAAAGAACCCTTTTTTCCCCTAAACCCACAACATTTGTAATTGTTACATACTGTTACATACTATTACAAGTTTGCACAGTTGAAATTGAGGACCATCCTATTTTTTTAGCAAGATTGACAATAGTGCTATGTCTGTGATCTTTCAGTTTTTGAAGTTTGACCAAAATCAGCCATAAAGAACTCTAAATCAATGCAGAGAGCTGACTGAATATTATTGCAGAAGCGAATAACACTTTCTGCAGTCTCACACTGGTGCAATTCTGAAGATAATAAAAATTATATTTAGCTGCCTAACTAGCGAGCCTCACACAAAAGAACATTCAATTAAAAAATGCAAATGCCTTTTTTTTGGCTGGTAGAGAAATATTCCATAGTGATTCCCATTGATTTCAAGAGAAAGCAAAGGGAATTTTGTGCATGGAGGTGTCTTGAGAAGCTCAGCTGTGTCAGCAAAGAACTGAACTTAACAACCGTATTAAGGAGCGCAACAGATACTTCTGGTTTTTCTAAACATTAAGTCAGGAGCTGTGGCCCCACACTTCAATGACAAAGGCAGTTCACCACAGCTTCTTCTTTAAAATTTAGTGCTGTTAAGAGAAAAGCCCCGCCACACACCACGCTCGTTCCCAAAGCACAGCCTCAGTGAACGCCACAGGCCAGGCACAAGGCACAGCATTTTAAAGTAAAGTATGTATCAGCTCAGTTCCCAGTGAACAGTGAACTGTCTCAAATCCACGTTATAGAGGTTGGATCAATCTTGCAAACACGAGCCATTGCTGAAAAGAGGCCCTGAACTGAAACAGCCTGGAAAATGTATTAGATATTAATCCTAGCAGAAAGTATTTCTACCAAGCAAGTTAAAACACATTATGGCAAAACTTAAATTAAACATCTTTAAAAAGCTTGCCTTGCAGATGCAAGCTCCCTTATGTGAGGAAGTAAATTACTGAGGGGTTGTCAAGGGGAAAATATTTACCAGCACAAGATTGTTTTCTTTAATGTTTATCCAGTCTGAAATAAATACAAACTCTCTCTTTTGCTCACATCTTTCTACATTTCTTGGGAAAAGGCTTGACCCTTCTTCATTCTTGCAGTGAATTGGATGCAGCCCCTTCCCTACTTCAACTGTTCAAAGTTAATTGCCTTGGCTGATTATTTTTTCATATTGCTGTAGCACCAAGCACTTCCACCTAAGGAAGTGGTGTCTGGATGCCAAAGTGCTTATGGCTGAAATCAGTTATGTCTGCCCAGCCCAATCCATCCACAACACAGTGTAATTCACCTTGAGATGAGCTTGTTCCCACTGACCTCCAGACTGGTTAGTTTAAAGCTCAGCTCAGCTCTCTCTAGGCTACCTTTCAGCTGCTGCTGTCACTGTAGTGAAGACACACCCCCATAAAAAGGGCTGCAAAAAGGGAGTATTTCAATCTCCACTGTGCAACTAATGAATTGAGACACCGAGGCACCGAGTCACTTGCCTAAGGTCACACAAATAGTGGCCAGTGGTGAGAAACTACTCATATCTTGATTCCTTCTCACTGGCTTAATTCTAAAAGCAACTCTTCCAACAACACCATTATTGTAACTAGTGGGGAAATAAGGATTTCTGTAAAGAATTACAAGTCTAGGACCTCAGACAGGTGACTGAACTATCAGAGCTTCATGTGTTTGTGTCTGTCAGCTGAGCCACACTAACTGACTGTGTGTGTGTTTTAGCCCACAACATACAAGAGGTAAAATACATTTATTTAAATCTTTTACACTGAGGTTTACCATTACAGACTTTGCTTCATGCTTGTTAGATGCCAAGAATGTGCCAAGGGTCACTTACTGCTGCTCAATGGACACAAGGTAATTCGTCAAGCAGAGGTAACTCAAATGTGTGTCTGAGCCTGAAAATAAACACAGTAGAAATCTGGATCCCTTGGCACAGTATTTTAACTCTTTAACTAAGAATGACATTGTAATTTTTATTGGCTTTTCAGTAACTGCCATTTTTAGAGTTTGAGCTGTTCTGATCAATTATACAGGGGTTTGCAATTAATGTGGCACTACAATATCAGTGAACATTAGTGATTCATGATGTACAGTTCCTGCAATACTTGCAGTCACCACTGGCAGCTATACCTTAGAGTCCAAACAAGAGAGTTTTTCCAGTCTTTTGTTTACATCAGGAGAATCCATTGCCTTTGTAAACTGAATTAAGCAGAGTTGATTATGGTCCTCAAATGACAAGATGATGAAATTGTCTGTAAGAACAGCTGAAAAAAAAAAAAAAACAAATAAAAATTGTCAGTACTGTAATACCTGTCTCTAGGAATAAAACAAAGTCGTGAACACTCCACTGAGACACTGCAAAAAGCAATTTTTTTCAAGACAGTGTCTTAAATATTACACTGAAAGCCCTGTAATGTCCTGAAACATATCAGTGTGTCATCCTGTCAGGACCTTCTTGGAAATGAGAAATAAAGCCTAGGGAATACTCTGATTACATACACCTGAATAAATTATCTCATATCAAAATGCCACTACATTCAAATATACATTTTATGCCCTTCCACATTAATTTTCATCTCAGTATCTATTCGGTCTTCAGTATTTTTTTCTTCTTATGGTTGCATCCACCAGTAATTTTCAGAAGGACTTCATATAGCTTAGCTTGTGTTAAGGTGATAAATGCAAACTAGGACTCGAGGTGTATGTGGTATTTTGACATTGTAAGGTTCCTGGTGCTGCTGCAGACACCAAGGAGGCTGTTAAATGCAGGATAAGGCTTTAGAGGGGTTATGAATTCACTGAAATCTTCACATGGGGTACCCAAACAATGCAAGTAATGATGATGGAATAGACTCCCTTGGAGTTTGGAAAAGCTCAGTGGAATCCCCACTGTTATCATAGGGGGTGCTAGACCTAATTAGTTCAATATAAAAGTGATTAACTAATCTGTCAATGAAAATTACTTAGAAAACTGTATCTAGGATTTTTTTACCCAGTTATTTGAGCAGCACCCACACTTGAAGAGGTGTCTGAATATGAAGTAAGTCATTGGGGTAAGTATTACCAGATCACTGATAGTTTAAAATAAAGCTAGAAAGCTGTGCTCAGATTGTAAACTCAAAAACCTCTCCTAAAAGGAAAATGCCAATTAAAGTGGAACCAGATTTAGAAACAATCAAAACTCTCCAGAACAACCTCTGAAAAAGAAACTAAAAAAAAAATAAAAATTTATTACTAATATCCCAGATTCTTAAATCCAAATTTTATATATCCTTAAGTTAATTGACAGCTTAGTCTTAAATATAAACATGGAAAACTGGCTACTCAGCTTTGCTTTTCTTTAGTCTGATTTATAACCACTTGCATTTTCCAACAGTCATGTCCTGGCACAACTCTGAAGTATCTGGTATGCAAATGCTAAAGGGTAGAGTTTACAGCCAAATAATTGCCTTTGAAATGTAACATTAACACCAGCTATTTTGGAAAAAAAAAAATAAAAGAAAAAAAGAAAAAGAAAAAAGTGATAAAGCATCTGATAAAGTGATTCAGAAGCTATAACTGAGATCCTGCACACACATGAAAATTGAAAACCACTGAATATGGTATCCTCAGTATATATGTACACAGTTAAAATATTTTGATGTCCTAACACATATGTTTTGCCTTAAAAATGAGCTGCAGTGCACCTTGGTGAAATTTTGCCCATAAATAATAAGAATCAGGAGAACTTTCTTAGAAGCAGAAGGATTATAAAAGCAATAGTAATTCTGTATTTTGTGCACACAATCTGACCTTTATTCCAAATGTTAAGAGGACATGCTACTCTGAATGAGAATTACAGCATTTCATAAGTAATTCTGGCAGATTGTAACCCTTATCCATTTCTACATATACACAATTGCTGAAGTAAGAACTAATATTTTTATACAGGCTTCTTGTGCTAAATGTAGAATTACTCTTGGCCAACTTTATAATCACAGCCATAATTTGAAGTCAGATTTGGAGAGATGTGCTGTTTCATTGAATTAAAATTAATTTCCTCTAGGACAACATTATCTCATGTTTCACATGAAAGGATAGTTCAGTATAAAAAATTGCATTTTGAGCACTATTTGTGTGGCTAACAAAAGCATCTTCTTTTATTGTTCATGAAAATAAAAACTGTATTGCAATGAAAGTTATTGAGTGCTTTGCTTTTACTCAACAGAGGCAGTTTTATTTCACCTACAGACTTGGGTATTAGCAAACATGGAGGTTTAAGAAAACCTTGAATAAGTGAAAACAAGGACAAAACATTATATAATGCTATTTATATAATTAGTACAGTTGTCCAAATGTATTAAAACATATTTGTTTCTTTACTGTTGTTTTAGTTGTAAGCTCATTTAGTTAGCAGTATTTTCTGAACAAATATTTCTATGCCATATGAATCCAAAGTAAGACATGATCCACATGTTTTCTTTTTTATTAGTTTTTTTAATGATAAAGTATTCCAAATAATTTCCACAAACTACTTCAATTTGGCAATAACCTTGGATTCCATGTTTTCCTACTTTTTGCTACATGAAAGTAGGAAATCCTCCCCCCAGGAATAGAGTGCAAAAAATCATAGATGGAATTAGCAGTCCAGTAATTAAGGTGAAGAGTGAAAAAAAGAAGACAAGATAGTAAATGTGTTCTTTGCTCTCTGTGGAATTAGTTCATAAAAAATGTGCAGAGGGTTAATTTTTTTATAAATAAAGATTCTACTAACATAGTTACATTCATGCTAATTTTCAAGACTAAACTACAATATATTTATAAGAAAAGATCAGAGAGACACAGTGTTGTAGTTTCTTAAAACCTAGGCCAATATTCAATAGACACCTGAGTAAAGAGAAAATTAAATCATTAAATATCAAATCAGAACTGAGCACATATTCTCACTAGAAGGATGTAATGTGGGTCTACTCTTAAAGAATTTGGAAGGTAGTGTACATGTAATATGGCTCACACCAAAATTTCATATTCCTGCTTCTGCAGAAGCCAAGATACCAGCTGATTTCTCAGTGATATGAGTCATATCATAAAGTTGTGGAAAACAGGGACATTTCTGTAAGTTTTCTTCTGCATTAAATGAAAACTTAATTTTTATCAGTCACTAGTTAATAACAATAGTGAGATTCTGGGTATCAAGAAACTAAATCAGAACACCTCCACATAACTCATCCAGCCTTTTCTAATAACAACTTTAATAATAACTATCCCATGCAATTATTCAATTGGCTAATGTTTGGTTCTGTCCCATTTTCCCACTTACGAAATAAACATGACAAGTTCAAATGGCATGTTCACAGCGATTACAGTGTAAGAAACGGAATTTTAGAAACCCATGCAGCATTTGACAAGCCTGAAAACTTTGATGTTAAATATTCTTAAAGTGCTCTTAGTCCTGAGGGTTGTAACTATAGCATTACATGCAATTACTTGTTGTGTTTGCAAGTCCCCAGTGGCAATAATTAGTCTACCTGTTGACATACTGTTTCTCTACTCTATTGTTAATGTAGGCAATTGATTTGCACATGGGTGTAATTACCATCACTGATGGTGTCGGAGATGAGCTTCCCCACCAGGGTCCTGTCAATCACCACCTTCTCCAGCTGTGGCCCAGAAAGGCTTAGGGACACCAAAATACCTGAGTGAAAGAGGAGCTGAATCCAAAGAGAAAACAAGACATCAAAAATCATTAATAAAGTGAAACGTTCCAAGGTACATATTAGCAGCTGTCCATTATGTAGTAATCTAATTTTCAAAATTACAAAAATGAATTATCATTGATGTGAAGATGTCTTATAATGACTTTGAAAGCTTTTCCAATGAAAGAGAGAGATGTAACACAACACTGAATTATAAGGGTACAAGAACTACAATTGCTGAACACTTGAAGAAGTAGCTAAGTCCCCAAATGTTACATAAAATGTACTGAATTAGTCTGTTAAAAACAGAGATCAAAAATTTGTTCTGAAGGAGGGAAGAAATTACACAGATCACTCTATCATCCCTAGACCTGATATTTTCTGTATAAAGTAACTGCATTGCCTGCACGTAAAAAAAATATATATAAAGTAGGGTTTAATATAATTCTATATTATCATCACAGATTAAAACCAGCACATTTTTGCTGTTCTTATTATTTCTGATCATTCATATATTGCTTAAATAAATAATTGTGCCCTACCACAGAGGTAGCTGTGAGCTTCCAATAAATCCATTCACTCGTTGACATAACGTTTTAGATACCTCTCTTAGAAAGAAATAATTTAAACTATTGGACAAGGTTATTTCAGAGTTAATTGAATATTCATGCCTAATTAATTTAAATTAAATGATACATATAATCTTGCAGACTAAGTCACAGTATTCATCAAGCTCCTTCTTATGCAATATCTTCTATGAGAAAGAGAATGCTCAGTGGAAGGAGTTATGAAAAACATTTATTTTTGCATAATTAAACCATTAGTCATTTTCTGAGTGCAACTACTACAGCAAAAGAATTCAGAAAATAAAGCCCATGAAAGGAATTCTCAGTGGAAAGACCTCTGCAGGCAAGTCCAGAGGGTCCACCAAAGGCCAGGAATCTGGGACTCCAGCTCTTACTTCTACCTAGCAGATTTTTAAAGAAATCCCTGTGCTTTTAAAAAACTTAACTACTAAAGAAACACTTGGTCTTGTAGGAGAATTTGGCATAGTCATGGAAACTCTTATTTATATATATTTTTGCTATATTATTATACCACTGTGCTCTCCAAAGAACAGAACATGTCTATTTAAACAAATTATTTTCCTGCCCTAACACCTTTATCCAACATGTTTAAAAAATACATTCTAGTGATGTGTAAAGCAGAAACTATAAAACCCTATGATGTGAAATTAATTTCTAAGAACAAATGATCAGTTCCCATCCTGTCAAAGTCTAATCATACATTCATTTGATAGATTCATATAGTCAATGTCTCAATATTCCTTGTCATGACAGATGTCCTTTAAGGTTTTGTCCTAGTAAAAATGTTAGACACGCTTACACTCATGCAGCTTTTATTACAATCTTTCAAAACTTCAATTTGTCCTTATGTTGAAGTTAGATTAGATAAAATCACAATTTATTTCCAACTTGGTAACATGAAGTCCAGCAAGGTTTGACTACAGTTGGCTATAACTGTCCAAAAAACCTGCTGGAAAAAGTGAGGGTTGAAACCCAGGAGCTACCAAACTGTGATGTAAACAACAATTTAGTGAAATTACATAAATACTCTAGAAAGCTCAGTTCTAAATAACTGAATGGATATCAGCCTGATAGAATAAAACATCCCCAATCTTTCAGGGATAGTACAGTCAGGGTGTAAATTCACTTTATGCCTATGTATTAATTTCCTGGTAATGGCATAAATTGCCCCTGTTACAGAGCTAGAACAGAAATCAATGAAAACCTCTCCAGTGTTTCATGACAAGACATTTATATAAATATAAAATGTTGTGCTAATGGGTGTGCTTTGCTTTACATTTATGAATCTAGTCATTAAACCAGTGTTATGGATTTTCAGTATTGTATAGATCTCTGTGCTATCACTATGGCATGACAGAATCACAGATAGTATGAAAATGTAGTATCATTTCCATTACTTTTATTGTTTCTCCCATTGTGCTCCCACCTTCTTTCATTTTACAGCAAAACATTCTTTCACATTATTCTCCTCAGAACTTTGAGATATTTGGGAAATCTTAAATTGTATTTTAACAAATTTTTGTTATAACTTCCTCTTGTTGGTCCTTAGGTTTAAGTTCATTCTTCTAGGAACTTTTAGAGTCTAAATTTAATAAGTTAATCAGAGACTTTACACACTCTATTGCAATGCAAGGTTAGTATTTCATCCATCTCCCTTTAAAAATGCTTTGAATTACAACTGAGATTTAAAAAAAATTAGTTTTTAGAGTTTACCATGAAGTACAAGCAGGCACTTAAATGAAACAGGGCAGCAGTGGAGTCACCACCCCTGGAGGTATTAAAGATGTGTAGATGTAGAACTTAAGGGAAGGTTTTAGTGATGAACTTTGGAGCATCAGGTCAACAGTTGGACTCACTCTTAAGGGTCTTATCAACCCTAAATGATTCTATGATTCTGTGCTATCTTTCATCAAAAATATTCTGTAAAAGAGAAAATATTTACGTGCTCAAAGTGAAACCACTATTTCAATCTGCTACGTCCTGTGTAGTCTGTGCAAAGACTGTTCCATGATAATAAGATTTAAGTGCTGTTACACATAAGCTTGCCTAGTTAAGCTCATATTTTGGTGGATGGAAGCAGTCCAGTCACAAGTATGAATGAATATAAAGCAAATAGGGAAGATTGCAAACTTGGCTTGAAGATGGATACACAGTGATCCAGCTCCAAAGGGAACAGCCCATCAATGCTAAGGAATAAAAGCCAATGTAAGAGGCATTATTTACACAAGGCACTACATCATTCCATCTAATAGATATTAAATTAGGGAAAGAAATTCACAATGATGAAACACATCATAAATTTTTCAGATTCAAATACTGTGATGGGAAAAATAAAATCAGAAGAGCTATCTTCAGAGCTTAAACAGTCACAAGATGTTCCTAAACAAAATATGAAAGCATGACTTCATACCTATCGGAAGGATAAGACAGGGACTTTGTACTTGAATGTAGTCTGAGCAAAATGTTTGGGCACCTGGTTATTCTACATACTGGGAAGGAAGGACCACTTCTCTGTTACTGAGGAATTGAATATGAAGACTTTGATAGAAAGGATTATGTGTTTTATATGCCAAGAATTGTTCTCCTCTGAGCAAGAAAGGCATGAGCAGCAGAGGATACTCAGGGGAAGATTTAGCCCTTCCCTTCCCTGATAGCAAAGTGCTCAAATATGTATTTGAGATAGTTTTTATTAAGCAAAAGACTTAAGTACAGGTTCATGACTTATGGACTTTAGTACAACTTAAGCATCTACTTAAGTGGATCCCTTTATCCTCAGAAGCCTGAGCCTTTCACTCCTCATTCATGCAGCTCAGCTGCTTATCAGCCCTTCTACCTAAAAAGATACCTGTGGAGCAAAGCCAGGATTTGCTTCTATCTGATTAAAATTGGAAGAGAAGGAAAATATGCCTGCAAAAAATATTGCTGCAAACTGTTTTCCCTTAGAGAGCCTAACTGACAAAGGAATATGCAAAAGGAGAAGAGAATTGCAAAGCACTTCTTGTTCAAGCAGGTTCCCAGGGTTTTTCCCCACCTCTTCATTCCAGATTGCTTTCTTAGCCACCCCACTGTAATTACTGTGTTGCATGCCTTATTACAGATGAAGTTATTGTTGTTACATGTTACTGTTTCACAATAATCAATGCACTTGTACTTCTAGCTCCAAATATCTAAAATCACACAACACATTAATAGCTGTGATCAAAAGCAACCAAAAGAATTTAATATGAGGGCAGTGTTCCTCTTAGTAATTGGGGATGGGTGCTGGCTTCTCGTGTATTCTAGACAGAATGTCTTGGTTTTGATATCAAATGTGCTATGTCACATATGTGTCTTCCTAAACCAGCTTGCTAATGGGCATTGTAAGCTGATAGAACAAGCAAGAAAATATTGCTGTGTATCTCAATTCAGAATCCAGTTCTATGTCGACAATGGCAACAGAAAAACTATTTATACACATACATAAATTGCAACACAAATACAACTAAATGAAATCAAAACAATTTAGCAAAGTATACATAAATCTTCTTCATTAGCAGGTAACAGATATGATTCATAACTAGTGCTTGGCTTTTATACAATAAACTGTATAACAATGTTGGCATGTGTTTAATTCAACATCATAATGCAAATGTAAAATGAAAAAATATTTGGAAATCAAATGTTTCAGCTAGACCTCATACATTTTTACTGCTTTATATTATAAAATTTAACCTTAACCAATGGCATAATTTCATAGGAAGATTTCTTGATTTTATGGCAAAACTTAAAAGCATTCCAAAGAATTAGAGAAGGAGACCAAGACAAGAAGCAGCCAGAGCTGAGCTGAATAAACTCAACAATACTGATAAAATTAATTCTTTAGGTTACTACTTCGTGGCAGAGAAAGCTGAGGAGTACAGCGGCATCTTATTGTAAAGACTTCTTGTCTTTTTCCTGTCATCCTTCTTTTATGGTCTATTTATATTCCTTTGACATCAGCTAACTGAAGATTACAGGATTATTTCAGCAACTCAACACAGGTCATCAATGTTGGGGGTCAGAAGTACGGTACAGAAATGGTGTGGGTTCAGATCCTATTGGAACAGAGCTAAAGAGAAGACCTCAGTCCTTCAGGACTCAACTAAGCTCTTCTAAATACGAGAGCAAGCTCCTTGACAAAAATCCCTGTACTGTCTAGGTTATGTTTACATGAACTAGCACATCATCTATTTCAGAAACTCTAAGCAGTGCTGGAATGCATACATAGGACTGCAAAAATAAAAGGTCATTGAGGTTTTTACGGCAATGGACAAGGAAGTAAATATGAAACTTCTAATGCTTCTAATCACTTCAATCAATGTGATTGCACACCAAAAAATTAAAAAAAAAAAAATAAAAAGGTAATAGGATAAATTTTGATGCATAAAATGAAATACTAACTAAGGTAGGGAACCAGGCCAGCATTATGGTCATTCTAGGCAAACTCATATATAGAAGAACCAACTTTGAGATATACAGTCATGCAATGGACAAAATAATCTGCAGGCAAAACAACTGGATTCCTCACTGAGGCATATGCATGAAGTCTGATTGGCCATTTGCACATGAACAATTAACATGACAGCACTCTTATTTTTAGCAGATGCACATTTAAAATTACAGCCCCTAATTTTTGCCTGTGGGCCACTTCTGAGATGGAAGTGCTGGAGGAAGAGTGAGGTATTAGGAATAGTGGTATATTGAGGCTACAGAAGGCATACTGGCAGCATCCCTATGCTTGTTTTACACAAAATCTGTGGCAAATCATACCACTGTTTTAAAGGACAGTCTTGTTTTCATTGCATCACTTTTTAGTTTTCTTTCTATTTGTCTCACTCAAGGTACAGCGGCCATTGAGTTTTTGGAAGGCACATTCTTATTACAATATAAAGGGAACTGCTCCTGGTTCAGCTACAGATATGGCAGATTCAAATATAAATATCATTTAATGAAAAATGGGAAAATGTGGCTGTTAAGTACTTTAATTTCTATAAAGAAGTTTATTTGACATTGTATTACTACTAAAAACAGAGGAAAAATAGATACTATAATTAAAACAATATGCTCAAATTTAGCCCCAAACACTGAAATTATGAAAATCAGGGTAATTTCCTACATGTTCTTCATGCTGTTTGTCTGACACATTGCTGTAACTCTCCAAAGTTAATGCAAATACAGACTCTTCCCACTAGCTCTGGTATTCATCCAAAAAAGGCTGTGAATACAGCAGTGTTATGCCACAGATGACACCATTGCGTGGTGAGCACTCTCTGCTGAAACAGTTAATTAGTATTCAACTTAGAATTAAAAAATAAATATACAACATCTTCTCCAGAAGCTTCAGAACATTTGCATCAAAGAGGAACAGTCCAATTATTGCTGCCAAATGCTCAAAGACAGATGAGCAGCAGAAAAACAAACCATCTGACATCAAAATTGATAGAAGACAGCTTTTCTGTTCTAGACTCTTCCAAAAGATTCATTTTTCTCTATTTTATTTTCATTTGTTGGAGGTCTTTTATTTTCAGGAAGACACAAAGTGGAATAACACAATTGTTTTGGCAAAACATTCTAACCCTTGTTAGAGATTTCAATAATCAGTCACTATTAAACAAAAAACATTTTGTTTTGTGATTGAGAAACCAAAAGCAGAATTTAAGGACAGAGAAATAATTATGATTTTATCTATAACTTTCATTCTGGTTATGTTATAACCTATACCATCACTTATAGTCTGGTCTTAGAAGCCATCTGAAAAAACACCCCAAATATTCAATTTATTAAACCACTGCTTTACATGGCTCAATACCTAATACTTTAAGTTGAAAACACCCATCTCTTTTCTTTCCCATCTTGTAGATGAAATAAGAAATAAATTAAATTGTATTTGTCTCATTCATGTTGATGTAAGCCTGAAATAACTTAGAGGATGTGAAGTCAAAAAATAAAGAGTTTTATACAGAACTGATAGTCAGCCAAAGGTGTTATATTGTAAAGGCAGGAAGACACATGTTGGCAAGAAGTTTACTTTTCCAAAATATGTATTGCACACATTGCAGGTGGATGCTGATGAATGGGAGGGGAAGGAAAATGGTAAAGGGAGAGTGGACAAGGAAAGCAAATGAAGAGACAGCAAACTGGGATGCAAATGAATGCATGCACAGCTAATTGACTTGGCATTTCTTAACCAAATTCCTTTCCTAATCAGAACAATAATAACAGGAAAAAATGATTCCCCCAAATTAGCAATTAATATTTAAATCAGCTCTAGAAGATTAACATTCACAGATACATACTATGTAATTTGTATGTGAATGATATACATTTACTAGTAGTGAGATCTGATAGGCAAATGTGGCTTAGACAATCATATTTTTATTATTGATATGAAAAGTCTACATAGCATTTGTCATGTCAAGCATTTAAAAATTTTGCTATTCCTAAAGGCATTTCTGGAATTTTAGCTGTACAGTGTTTGGATATTTAACAATCATTCTGCTGACACACATTTGGAACTACTTGAATAAGAAGAAAAACTTATGAGTCTGAAAAAGCATAAAATTTAGAAGACGAAGTTCCTTTTTTGAAACAGTAATATTGACAAGTATTCCCCATGCCAAAGCAACTTCAAATATGATGCATTTCCTCATGAAGATTGTATAAACATATAAAATTCACTACATAAGTTTTTCAGAAGAAGCACATGATTATGGAGCACTTAATTTTCAGCTTCCCTCTCTGCCCTACTGTTCTGTTTTAGCAAAGATGTGAAAAAGGGTTTCTTGTACACAAAATGTGGAACTCATATAGCCAGAGAACATAACTATATGTGTGCCACATGTCACAATATCTTTTATTCTGTAACTTGATTAATGATCTAGTTGGTTTAGAGTTATAGCTTCCCTTCCATATTACACAAGCATAAAGTAAAAAACATTTGTGACAGTTATGTAGATAATTAAGACATAAAAATAATAAAACACAGATTCCAGACCAGCCTATATATTTTAATACACAGCTGCTCTCTCAGCCTGCTATTTTGAGGTACAGGATGTTTTTAGTTTCCCAAAACAATAATGGTAATAATAACAATAACAATAATAATAGTCATCATTATCACCATCATCATCATCATCATCTCACAGAATCAAAGCCTTTTAATGTAATTTCTTTGTGTTGATAAACCCCAGGCTTTTTATTTAAAGCATGTTTTTCAGGGTAGAAATTTAAATAAAGCAAATTTACTTAACAAGGGCCCACATATTAAAAAAACTCCAATGATTTTCTGTGTTAACATTTTAACACTACTGCTCCCATCGCTGAATGGCTGCTCAGCACCACTGACTGAACACTGCAAGACCTTTTGATGACACTGTACCTGACAGGTATGTTTGTTCTTCCATTTGCTCAGCACACATGGACTGTTCTGCATTAAGTCCTAAAGGACAACAGAAAACAGAGAGTGGAGTTGGCAGCACACATTGTCACTATCAGTTAACAGACTTCTGATTTTCCAGTTTACAGATGAAAAATGCCACACAAAGATGCAGCTGTTTCAGAAGAGCCCACCAGACAAAAGCACATTTATCATCCCTGGGAGAGTTAGATCTTTATGAAAATTAAAGCTGTTGAAAGAGGTTTGAAAACCAGATTAGAAGTTGCTGTGCTTGAACCTTTCTGAACCATACCTCTACCTCCTTGAGAGCATCTCGCAGTTTGTCCGGTCGCTTGGTTTTCAGGATCCAAGGATAATCTCGAGCTGTCAAATAAAAGTGAGGGGAAAAAAAGAAAGATGGTAGAGAAATATGTACATATAAGTGATTGTATGCATATACATGTGTGTGTGTGTGTGTGTGCAAACATATATTTATATATGTCATATTAAAAAGTTCTATGACTTGAACTTCCTTTTCTGCGGAAACACAAATCCAAGATTTCAAGGAGTTACCTTACATGTGAAACTTACCTACAGCTGGAAGGAAGTGGCCATGGTTTCTACTGTCAAAGGATCTGTTTTCAGAAGGTCCAATCACAGGAACAGTTGGCATGCTCTATCCACAATGACCATGATTTCCCTATGGCAATTGTGTGCAGAGCTTACCCAGCTGCTAGGCACTTGCAGTGAAAAACTATCTGCTGCTCAGTATATTAACTCAGTTTCAAGTTTCAAGCATCCTAAACATATTCTAGTCTTCTGAACTAACATTTCATTGCCTAATTTTAAAAAGCAGGCACTAACATGTCTGCAAAATATATATGCATGAATATATGCATATATAGAAGTATTAACAATAGGCAAATGTGAATGCCATAACTTATGGAGTCTAGTTATTTACAGGATGTTCTTGACAATTTGGTCTGAAGAATCTGCCAAGTCAAGCAAAGAAGAAACTGTATGACTGCTGAAGTCTTTTAACAAATTTATTAGTGTTCAGCACACTATTGTGAAAATTCTGGCCTAATACATTAATTCTAGCAACCGGGAGGCAAAACTTCCTCTGGAGTTGCCAGTAATTGGTTTGTCTCATGGCTGAGAATCAGGCTCTAACAACTTGTGAAATTTCTTCATTTAAAAGTGAGCAGTTTTCTGTTCATAAGTGTACAATAAAATCATGAGAAACTAGAACACATTGTTTATAATCTATTCCTATTTAAAGGAAACCTGATGAAAAGTTTTGAGCTCCAAGCTGTCAGTTTGGATGCCAACTTCCAGACTGAATGACTTAGCAGTTATGCTTAAACCTCCCTGCAAAAAGGAGCTTACAATAGAAGTGCTATATAGTGAAAAAATGAAGGATTTCATATATCAACAAAAGAGGACACCAGCATACAACTTCTCTTTGTGTTTCACTGGACTGAAGCCAGCGTTGGTGGAACTGTTATGATAATATTAATTAGGCATGTAAGATCACATTTTCAATGGTGCCTTCATAGATACTGGAATATTTATCCACATATGCAAAATGGGAAATTGTCTGTAGAGATACCAAAGTATCTGTAGAAATCAACAGCTGTGAATAAAGTTCCCCAGTGCTCCTCTTTCCAAAATGGGCTGTGCAGGCTTTGTGCTGGGGGCACCCCTGCATTCCCAAGGACAAGGAGCAGCAGCTTGAGCTCCTTTTGCCTGTCACACATGTAAAAGGCACCACTGGGGCTGCTGGTGACAGGATTTATCTGGGCCTGCTCCTCCTTTCACACATGCAGCCCTGTATGATAACACTACACTGAGCACATGTGATGCAAACCTGGGAGGCTCCTTCCTGCCTGGAACCCTCCCCACCTTCCCAGAGCTGCACTGATCCAGCCTGACACAGCATCCTCTGCAGCAGGTGTGGATCTGCCACATGGCAGCAGCACCTTCACACCCATCCCCAGCAGGGCTTTAACCTGCTCCAAACACACCTTGCAGTGATGGGGAGAACTAATCCTTCCAGAACACATTTTGCCTTCATATGCATGCACAGTTCCATGGGAATTTTCATTTGTTTAAGCTAACAGCATCGACATTGCTCTGTGAAGTTGTCTAAAAGATCAATTAGATTTTTTCAGAGTTGTCATGTAATAATGTTTGACATTAACAAATGCTCTGAGCGATGTAGGAGTTGTAAAACTCGAGCTGAAGAAAAGTTGTATTAATATAAAAATCTTTAACTGTCACAGTACTGCTCTGTGATAGCATGAACTGAAATTGCTTTTAACCAGGTAATGCAGGGACAGTGTAAATGTTCCAAAGCTGAAGGCAAATGTTTCCAAAGCAAAGAAGGCAGCTGATTATTAATCTGGAATTTTATTTTGGATGAAAGTATTTTAGTTACAATTGCCGGTTTTAAGCCAGTTGGTGTTGCAAGTCAAGAGATGATGGGGAAAATGTTTATTGCTCATCTGCTAAGTAAATTTCATAAGGAAAAATCTGGATTATTTCTGTGATTCCTTTTGACAATGGACTTGAAAAGCAATACACACTACCATGCTTAGCGACAGGAAAAAAAAACGGGATTGCAAATATACCAAGAAGGAATAATTATAAATTTTCAATTGTTTTGTGCTGTGTAGTTCTGTGATCATCAGTCTTAGCTGACATGTGCAGAAAGTTACATTGGAAGCAGCCTGAGGTTATTTTAATGCTCTTCCAGAGGCATAACCAATCCAAATCTGCCATTTGATCTTACTGTAAGAAGAAACTCAAAAAATATCCTTACATTCTGCTAGCTTTTGCTTCTCTTCTAAGTAACTGTGCCTCATCAGTGATGCAAGGGAAAGAGGATGGAAAGATGAATTAATCCCTACAACCTCTGTCAGCAAATACTAATATTAGACAGAGGGCTGTCCCTGTTGGATAAAACACAGACATTTCCAAAAGAATCAAGGCAGCCCCGATGCTTTCACCCTGTAAGGCAGGTATCTCAAATTCGCAGAGCAAGAAAGGCAGTCCCAGCCGCACGGGTGGCATCGCCGAGCCGCAGCCGCAGGAGGTGAGCCGGGTCCGGCGGTCCATCAGCACAGGCACGGGGTGAAACAGCACCGCGACAGGCGGAAAGGGGGGGAAACTCCAGCCCCACAGCCCCTTCGGCCCGTGGGGAAACCTGCAGGATTGCCAGGATTAATCGGATAGAGGAAATGGAGTTTCCCCCCTCCGGAATGGCCATTGCGGAGGGCAGGCAGAGATGCCCTCTGCTGGGATCCCGGCGATCACCTGGCCGTGCGCTGGGCTCCACACAACACAAAATCTCTTAAAACCCCTAAGAATCCAGAGTGTAAAAAATCCCGCAGAGGTTTCTAGTTACATAACGGTTGGTTTTATGTGAATATTTTTTTTTTTATTTTATTTTTTCTTTCTGTGGTTTAAAAAGTTTTTTAATTTTCCTACATAAGTTTTGGGAGAGAACTCTTTTCTGTGTTTCCTTACTCCATAGAAACACAAAGGTATATACAAACAAGAAATTTGAAGCTGCATTTTTAAGAGCAAGCAGTTGGTGTCAGACATTGAATATCCCTAAGTTTTGTTTAGTTACAATTATGGTTATTTATATTTTACCTGGTTCTTTCTTGTCGCAGTACTGGTGGATGCCAATGTCTTCATCTGTACAATTAAATGGAAATACATTAAATTATGGATGTGGGACTAGAAACAGAACACAACTTAGAAAGCAAGGTTCAGCACCTCAATTTTTGCCTGCCAAAGCAGGGTTCAGTGTTAAAATACAAGCACAGTATATAGCCTAAATACCATTGGGACTTTCAAAAACCAGCAGAGAAGGGATGAAGAAGGATGTGACAAGCCCTTCCATTTATCTGGAGCTGTCGTTTCCCTTACATATGCTTAATTCCCTTCCAGCTGCACACATGGAAAAGCATTTTTACCACCTTCCTAATTAGCATATTTTGTGTTCTTTCACAAGAAAAGGATCATAGTGAAAACTGTATCTTGGAATAACTTTAAAATGTTTCCTGATGACTGACACAGCTGAGCTAAAGACATGGGTTGGGGTTTTTTAAGATTCATGAACTCATAAAGCTGCTCTTTCAAAGGACCCAATATTCTTGATCTACAGGTATTATCATCTAGCTGGTTCCTGTGGCAAAGAAATTTGGATATTTCAGCTGCACAGGGACTGCAATCCCACCAGTCAGTTGCTGATATGGCTGACAGGTAAACATGGCAAGCTCCATTGGGCAGGTCTAAGTACAGCATTAAGTTGCATTGTTTTAAAATAATTAGTTTGTCACTGCATCCATGTCCTCCAAAAGACAGACAGGGGTATTCCATGGGGAGAAATTCCTTACATCAAAAAATAATGTAGGAAGCCACTGAAAAGGCAAGCAGGACATCATCCTCCCTTCTGTCTCAAAATTTTTGAATGAGGAAACTAGGCAATGAATAAATGGAATCAAGAAGGTTGAATGTGGAAAATAGGCACAGTACTCCACAGCAGAGCTTTAATTACAATAAATTAAGTGTTTTTACTTAAACCATGATATTTTTTTCTATGAAATACAGCTCTTAAGTTTTTTATGTTATCGTTGTCAACAGTTCTCACACAAAGATAGGATGTCAAGGCACACCAAGTCAATATTTCAGTAATAACATTCAGCTCCATATCAATGGATTATTCAAAACAATATTTCAATAAAATTATTGTATGGTACAATTAACATGATGTGTCATAAATAATTTTTTAATATAGTCCACTTATAAACCAGTGGGGTTTTTTAGAATTATATTTTAGGAATAGCAAAGCAAGATGAATGAAGGTAACTTAAACATGGCTAGGAATTAGTCCTATGTCTTTTGGAACAATCAATTAATAAGACAAATGCATCCTTGCAAGTATGAAATTTCAAGTAATCATGCAAAATACCCAGAACACACAGTAATCTTTTATTTTCACATTGAGTACAAATCACAATGTCTCTGCAGTTCACTTGACTGTGGATCATTCACCCAAACTAGTCATTAAACTGAAGCTCACAGTCAAGTAGGCCACAGCTTCCCGAGAAGAGAAATGTATCCAATCAATATAATCTTAACATTTTTTTTTACTTGATAGGATGCTCCAGTTCCATGACACAAAAAGCAAAGAAGCCGACCAAATTCAAATACTGTGTTGCTGCTAATTTTCGTTCTCCCAAGTACAAAAAACACTTCATTCTGGTGTTCAGAATTTTGTATTACTTTAATTTCCATCAACATGCTCTGATGATTTGTTTTAGTAACAGAAAACAGCTCACCTCTAATATGTAAGTTGGTCTTCAAAGACCACAGAAACATCTCAGTCAGGCAGAAGGACATCTGGTGATATATGGAGCCTTAGCACTAGCAAAAGAATGAAAGGAACTGCATGAGCCAGTTTCTTACCCTCCATCACCAGTGAAATAGTGAAATGACAAGTATTTTGGAATATAAGTGCTAGAAGAACCTAGCACTGATGGTATTTTGTTGTATGTAAGCTGTAGCTTTTAATTGCAATTTAAAATGAATAATGCATGAGGAAGAATAGGATAAGTAACATAATATGAATGCATACACATCAAACACAGAGAGAAAGCAACAATTCTTTAAATGTACAATTGCTCTCACTAAAGCAAATAACTTTGTGCTTGATGCTTCTAGTATACACATTATCATCTATTTTTACTGTATGGTTATCACCCTGACATGCAAAACTGAGTCCACTACTTAAATATGTGGTTTAGATATGAGAATTTGACCTTCAGGCCAAATCCTTTTAACTCTACATTAAGAAGTGTCAGTATAGTCAAGAAACAATTTTGAACACAGTATTTGCAGTTATATAATAATAAACACATGTATATATATATATATATGTATATATATATATATATCATATGTAATATATAATATATCATATGTAATATATATTATTTCTAATTATTTATATATATATATATTAGTTATAGTGTCAAAATAAATTACATCTTTCTAAATAAAAAACTCCAAACCACTTAGAATATTTATCAATTAGAACTGACAAAACAACAGATGTGAAGCATACAGAATATGAGTTGAAGTATTATGTACATTGCTATTAAATGCTTGCTAAGCTTTTTTAAGCAATCCCTTTGAATATTCCCAGAGGAGGACATGTAGTGTTTCAAAGGAGCATTGGGAATTCTCCTAGACACCGTAACCAGCAGACTCCCCTGAGTGATTTCCTGCAGTGTTGTAGTCATAAATGGGCCACCAATCAATTATTTTTACTTCTGCTAAACCTGGGGACCTACTGAAAGCTGGAATGAGCAGAGGTGTTTACACAATGCAGCAACCTTTAGAACCACTGCTAGTATGGTACTATATTTAATTTTATTTTTTTTTAAGTAGTATCCTCATTTGGTTCCCATGAGTGCCATTTAGATAATGAATCAATTCAGATAATAATGGCAGAATTTTTATCACGTAGAATATCAGACCTTTATGTCAAGAGTGCTACCATGAAAAATATGTGCAAGAATCTCAGGTAACACGAAGGCAGCTGGGAGACCTTGAGGTATTATCACTCAAGCTAATATTTATGTTTGAAGAACTGCCTAATCCACTGAAATAGCACCAAGTGGAAATAGCATTTTCTTTCCACTGATCCCCAAATGTACAAAAAGTCTTGCTGACTTAGTAAATCCCATAGTTCTGTTAAAAAACCCCCACAAAAACAAAACAGAGGAAACAAACAAAAAAAGCTCACAAAAAAAACGCACATACACCACACACTTAGTAAAAGGAATATACCTTTATCTTAGGTAAGAATGAGGTTTGGAAAAAAATGCAGGATTAGAAGCATGGTGGTCTGTTGAGTGTAAGAACTATTTTTGGTATAAATATAATTGAGGGCAGCCCCTCTTTTATTATGTGGACTAAAGTAAAAGGAGATTGTATGATATAATTTTATCTGTTTTCTCACTTTTTACTTACTTAGCAAGTGAAACAAAACTTGCATTCCCCAGGGTTCATAGATCCTAGATTAGAATCTCTCACTAATGGGAAGTGATCAAATTGAGTGAGCTTTTCAAAATCCTATCATGGCTTGACTAAAAACCCATACACCTTCAAGTGGCAAATGATCTGCTCAGCAAGAGAGAAGGGACATCTTCCATGAAGCAAAATGTGGTGGGGTGACCCTGTCTGGACATCAGGTGCTCTCCAAAGCTGCTCTTTCTCCTCTGCTCAGCGGCACAGGAGAGAGAAAATAGAATTAAAGGCTGTGAGGTGAGATAAGGGCAGGGAGAGATCACCGACTGTCTCCTATCATTGGCAAAACAGACTTGGGGAAATCAGTTTAATTTGATACTGAATAAAATAGTGAGAAATAAAATAAAATCTTCTCCCCACTACCAAAATCTTACTGCACAAACCCAAAACATAAGGTAAGACTAGAAGACTTTGGCATGACAGATAATCTAACATAAAATGCCTACATTTTTCCAAAGCTCTTCTATGTAGGCTCCATGGACACTTCTAATTGTGTCCTCCTATTGAATATAAAGCCACCAGGAAAGCTGAGTGCCTTCCCACCTAACAGGTCAGAAAAGAATTCCAAATCCTTTTTTTTTGTTGTGAGACACACAGAGGGAACTTGCCAAAAAGCAGAAGCAAGTTTTCAACTGGGCACTAAACACTCAGTGTCCAAGATGCATACTTTAAAGAAATTTTTTCCTCAAAAATGTGAAAAAAATAGATTTTGTAAGAAAATGTTAAAAACTCAGACTTCTAAAGAACACCCTTTCAATTCCACACTGAATAATGAAGAGGAAGCAAAATTCTCTTTGTAACTAAAAAGAGATATTTATCAATTACCAGAATCTTGAGAGTTTATATATTTTCTTCTCCCTTTCCTTGGACTCTGAGCGCTCACTAACCATTACCAGAATGCTTGTTACTGTTCCAGTGAAAATGGACAACTGCCCAAAATACTGTTCCAGTCTAACAAACTCCAATTTGAAATACCTTCTGATTAGTAACATTCTACAGTAAAAATAAAAAAAAAAGAGAGAAAATTTGCTTCTGTAACAAAATATGGCATTGTCAAGTCTGAGTACTTTTTTCAGAGGAATTATTATTTCTTCTTCCTTTTGAAGGAATACATGCCAACTTTCAGTGTTATGCAACTATGTCTCACCATTTCCCACATCATTATATTCCAGCACAATGGGGATGAGGATGATGACGACAAAGTGATCTTTTTGTATTTGAAAAGTGCCTCTCACAATTTACAATATTCCTTTTACTCCACAAGCTGGGCCCTGCTATTGCAAAGAAGGTAGGTGTGAAAAAATAGAAAAATTCCTCCCATGGAGCTTTAAGCACTCTATCCTTCCCTCTTTAAATTTGATTAGAATTCAGAAAAAATGGGTTGAAATAACTCTTCTGTTAAGGTGAAACTGGAATTCAGTTTAACAGCTGGTTCTTTTTCTGGCTCATACAACATTTACTGTCTGCTTTCACAATACAACAGGGATATTTTAGTGGTTGCAAAAGCTTACTGACAAATGGAGATGTTTTGCAATGGTCAGCCTGTGCCAGTATCTGCATGAGGATTGTTTTGTCTTAAAAAAATCTTCAGTTTGGTAACTATTCATACAGAAAATAACTGCCCTGCCACTTTATAACATCAACAAATGCTGAAATTGATACCAAGAGTCCTCTCCAATGCCTCCAATATAGGTTGTCATGACAAATACTTAGTAACTATGCACTGCCTGAGTGATCCATGGCACTGGTGCTACATTTCTTCTCTTTCCAGATCACCTGGGAGAGTGGTGTGCTTGTGAAAGGCAGGGTTCAGCTCCCAAGGTGAGAGCATCCCAAAAACACCTCTGAAAACATACTAGGAGCAACCTAGAGCTAGAGAACAAGGGATGCTGACAACAACAGACCATCTGAACCTTGAAGTTCAGATGTCAGTAGCATGGCTCAGTGTGACAGCACTATCCAAAGTGTCCCTGGAAGAGTAAACCCTGTAGCTACCATGATACAGGGCAGCCTGTAATGCCTATTCCATTGAAGGTGGGCCCAGGAATGAGCTCCCAGAAAACCAGCATTCCTAGTGAAAGAGCAGTAAACAAGGGGGATCCTGTCCAAAATATTGACATCATTTGGGACACGCTCCTAGGAGTGGAAGCAAGGTAAAATACAAAGCCAGTCAGGAGCTGGTCCCTCTATGCCACAGCAAAGTCACAAAACTGCTGCAATGGTATCCATACATGTATTAGATGAGGTCCTTCAGATACAGGGTTGGGCAGAGGTTACAGGACAAAATATCCAAATAAAAGAAAACACTGTAGAATCCAGTTCCACTACTTACATGTCATCAGTTTTTCTTGGCAAATAATACAAAATCAGGAATTATTTTATAAAAATTGTCATGGACCACCCTTTTGTGTTCTCCTATTTCATGGAAATACACAATCATAGAATATCCTGAGTTAGGAGGGACCCACAAGGATCATCAAAGCTCAACTCCCGGCCCTGCATGAACTCTGGTGAGCCTGTTCCAGTGACCAATCACCCTCTGTGTGAAAAACCTTTCCCTAATATCCAGTGAAAACTACCCTGACACAGAGTCAGGCCATTCCCGGTCCTGTCACCACAAAGAGATCAGTGCCTGCCCCTCCTCTTCCCCTCATGAGGATGATGAAGACCCCACTGAGGTTTCCCCTCAGTCTTCTTCAGGCTGAACAGACCAAATGACCTCAGCCACTCCTAATTCAGCTTCTCCTCCAGACCCTTCACCCTCCTTGTGGCCTCCTTTGGACACTCTATAATACTTACTGTCTTTTATATATTGTGTTGCCCAAAACTGCCCCCAGCACTTGAGGTGAGGCTGCCCAGCTCAGAGCAGAGCAGGACAATCCCCTCCCTTGCCCAGCTGGCCATGCTGTGCCTGATGCCCCCCAGGACCTGGGTGACCCTTCTGGCTGCTGGGGCACTGCTGGCTCATGTTCAACTTGCCATTGACTGGGATCCCCAGGACCTTCCCATGGCACTGCTCTCCAGCCTCTCATTCCCCAGTCTGTACATCCAGGGCTGCCCCATACCAGGAGCAGGATATGGATTGCTTTCATCTTCCATAAGTCTAATTTTTTTCAGAGAAGTGGAAAATGAAATAGCTGCAATGAACTCTAATTCACAAAAATACATATTTTTTCATTTGATTTTGGATTGATTACACAATAGCTCTACTAGCTGTAGATGCCAGAGCAGATTACCCTCGGTCTTACTTCTGTCTCCCTTCCTCCACCTCTCAAATGTTAACATCCAATCTCTGGCACTGCTACAGCTCACTCACAATGGCTAATTTTTAA